ATCAATAAATAATAATTTCTTTTTGATCTTCTTTCTGCCTTTCCTTTTTATGTCTGGGCCAATTGGGTTTTACTTGCTTTATGATTGGCTGTCCCCTCAATAACTAATCGTCGTTTGGCGAGGTGGTGGGAGATTGCTCTGGATAGCATCAGTTTGGTTGGGAATGCTCCATAATAAGTTATCGGGTTTTGCTCTTGATCACGAAAGTGGGTGGCGTGCATTTTATCTAGCCCACTGTCCGTACCGGGTAAGTCCATACACATGCAGACTTTCATGTTAAACGCCCTTTTCCCTCCTGGCGGAATATGCCGTAGATCCGGTGTTAAGAAGCAAGAGAGAAACAACCAGTGAGTCGGAAGGTCGGAAAGACCTTAATAGAAGAAAAAAAGAAAGGTTGACTATATTTGAGATGAGGGCTGGAGAACGGAAAAATAAAAGAAAATAAAAATAAAAATAAAATAAAATAGAACACAGGGTTAGTTATATATAATTCACTGATGCTCCTCACATGGCACAAGGCGCATTTTTTAAGCCCTGCGCTTTGGCGTTGGACCGAACTCGTCCGTACCCTTTCCTTCCAAAAAGGCCCTTTTTTTTTACGGACCCTGAAAATGCGAGCAATCCTGGCAGTGACCGGGTCCTCAGGAAGATGACACCCGTGTAAAAACTCCGTCTCTCTGAATGATCTGTCATCGGTACCGTTTGGGGGCTTGGCCTCTGTTTCGACGAAGGCTTGGGGTTGCGATCAATTGATATCCTGATCGCCGTCTGCGCTTTGATGCTTCTGATGCAATGGTGCTGCAGATAGACAAGCTTTCGGTTCTGGAGCCTTGATTGACCTCGTGTGGTTTCAGGGGTACGGAGAGAAACACACCAGCACAGGTTCGGCTAGAAATCCAGGGTTCTTCGCCGTCAAGCGCCCCTCCAGGAGCAAGGCACAAACCGCATCGTCAGGACGAGGAGTAGGTATAACACCTCCTTGGGGGTTCTCCACCGCTGTCAATGCTGTCCTGGCGGGCCTCAACAATGATGGGCCCTCTGTATGGGGAGACGTTAGATGTAGATATGTATCATGTACCCAAAGCGAAGGTATAGGCGCCGACGAGCTCGCAGCACCCGGGGTATTCTTTTGTCTCGCATTGAAGGGTTCGAGCACGCAGGGGCACGGCGTAGAATAATAATATCGGCATTTCTTTTTCACGCTGTTTATCCTTCTGCACCGCCGTGGATGGTGATAGCTCTGTTGCGCGGTTGCGCTGGCTCTTGATATGTTTTCTTCTGGTGTCGTCGCCGTTGTAGGACAGGCGGAACAATAGGCGCTTCCGAAAGGGGAAACGCTCCAACGTCAAAAGGAGGAAAACTCAACGTCAACTTCAACGTCAACTTCACCAGCCGCCAACCTCGCGGTATCCGGTACATCGCAGCGCCATCGACGGCCCAGCACGACTCGTCCGAGTAGGCGACGGTGCAGGTCAAGATCTCGCGTGCTGGGCAGCGCAGCCTGCCTCTGCAACTCCCAGGTTTCATGTTTCCGGCGCCGGTTGACGGAGTGGAGCGAGCGGCAATCACCCTCGATTCCACAGAGCACGTCTTGTCTGGTTACGCCAGTCCGTCAGGACACGCGCTGTTACTCTATGTACGGAGTACTTAGGCACAGAGTACTGGCTGTGTGAAGGGACGCTCTCTGGTTATATTCATCATCGCTGAACCATGCAAGCCACCACCCATTTCTCTGCTGGCTGATTAGCTGACATGGAAACTAGGAATCTCAAAAATGAAAATAATTGCGTCCAGCTCTTTGCCACCAAAGGATCACATATCGAGGGGATTTCTGGCTACTCATTGGGCGGATGGCTTGCTGCCCTCAATAATTTGAGCCCCTTATTGGGCAGTATGCAGAAGAAGATATACTGGATAACCGTAAGAAGACATGAAATAAAATAAAAAAAAAAAGAAGCCTTGTTCGATTTCACACAGAATTTCTGTACCAATCATGATTATCCAGGCGCTGTGCTTTTATCATATGATCCCTGCTTTCTTACTTGTCCCCTGGCTGATGCAAAACGACTACTACTGGCAGACAGACAGACATATATTATTTTCTGATCGACCAGCATGAAGATCAGGCCCAAGCAAGCGAACTCAAACTAGCGCCTATCCTGACTCGAGGTGGTGGGATGTCAAGAAAGAAAGAGGAGACCTGATAATATGGCCCACGATTTTATGCCAGGTGGGTGATCCACGGTATAAAATCCACTAGTAACGGTACCTGGCTTCTCCTTCGCCATCACCACTATTTGCCCGTGGATATCGTTCCCATGTCGTTCTGCACAGGCCATGCTATCCACTGCGGATACGATGTGCAGCGTGATGAATATCCCCTGGTTGCGTATTTCCTGTTGGCAATGAATTTTGCAATTCTCCTGCGGTCCAAGACCCTCCCAACTCTGATTTACGGTTCTTCTAGGAAAGCATCACGATGGTGACACCCAGATGCAACTTGCTTTTTCATCTCTTCTTCCCTCTTTTTTTTTTTTTTTTTTTTTTTTTTTCCTTTTCAAAAGAAAAAGACGACCCCACACGCAGCCTACTCCACCAGCGGAGATTGGCTCACGATCACTCTTCTTGCCATAGGGTATCTATCTGCATTGAACAATTGGAAGTTCTTCATTCTCGGTACTTCTTAAGGGTCCCGCGTGCCTACAGGTTCTCCATTGCACCCAGAATGACGGAATCTATCATACCTCCTTGTATCAGCCATCATTCTCGCGCTTTAAAAAAGAATTGATAAACGGCCAGGTCCAGCACAATCGGGTTCCGTTGTTCGAAGACCGCAATTTTGCATTGGAGGGTTATCTTAATAATGCTTAATTAATTCATTCAGCCGGAATTTTTTAGGTTACGTTTAACGCCGCCCATAACCTGCCAGACCCCTGACCCTTCATGCTGCAGGCTTATTGCGACTCTACAAACTACCACCACCTCCACCACTTAATACAGCTGCTTCATCCTGTCTGATCTCGTTCTTTTTTCTTCCTCTTCCTCTCTCCCCTCCCTTCTCTCTTCTCCCTCTCCCCCCTTATATTTTCTTCTCACTTGGCACCGTTGACTGCTTTCGTATACATTCCAGAACACCATCTCCCTTTAGTTGTACCTTCACCGCTCCCTTGCACCGAAGTCCCCAAGTTTGCCCTTTCTGGATCATACGCGGACAGGCAGAGGCGGCAACCTTGCATTGCTCTTTGACGGTCACACCCGATCCGTTGATCATTGAACTCAATACACACACTCGACTCTGTCCTGGGATATTTCTTCTCTTTTTCCATTGGCAACACTTCTGGGAATTGTAACAGACGTCATCTTTGATCCATCAACAACGTACTTACATACACCCTACTTGCGGGAAGCCTATCCGTGAAGTTAAACCTGGTTCCATTCGACGTGTTCTAAACCGCCATATTCTTGCCCTACTTTATACCCACGCTCTGCCTCATCAATCTCTTGCTTTTTGCAACTTCGACAGTCGAGAACAGGATATAAGAAAGCTGTCAAGGCCTGTGAGGCAATATATCCCTACCCCCCGTTCCTCGCTATCAACGTTACAACTCAGGCGATCCATACAAGCCACCAGGCCGGTTTGATTGTTATCCTGGTGCCAAAGTTGAAAAACTGCTTGCTGGTTCGGAAATTTTGATCGCTATGATTAAGGCAGGCCGAGTTTTGAACACAAGGGACATATCTCGTTAACGACACATTTACCCGACGGAACTCGAACAGCTCCTCTCGACGATTTATAATTCTATTTCGGTTTGCTGGGTTGCGCATTTACTAAGACCTAGGGAACCTGCACTTCAACGATCTACCTAATGCAGTGCCTACCTTCTGCCCGATTCTTCCCTAACGACACCTTCGGACAGCCCCATCGCTCAGGGTCAGATCCGCTAAGATTCTCCTTAAATCTCAGCGTATCGGACTCCCGCTATTCGAGCAGCTGTCGAAGTCCATATCTCTCCCCGCCTATGTCAGGCTCTCCGCCTCCAGAATTTAGATCTGACCTCTCTCATGGACTAAGGCATTCAGCACGACCAAGCTCTCCAACATCAAACTTGAAATATCCTGAGTCGCATCATGACTATCAAGGCCATCATATGGTCGGCGGGCAGGGGATAGATCGCGCAGTCTACGACCCGAGACAGTCGCAAATATCAAATCAGCAGTATGGGCTTCCGTCGGTGAATGATATTCGTCCGCCACATCTACTACCGGCATTCGGAGCGCCGAATCCCATTTCCACACGTACGACGACACTTCCTCCGCGGCCAACCCGCCGGGCGAAAGCTCATGTTGCGTCTGCTTGCGTCAATTGCAAACGAAAACATCTAGGATGTGATTCTGCACGGCCTTGCCGACGATGTGTCGTTGCAGGTAAAGAGGTACGTTTTGGCCATCAGTATAAATTCATAAAAACGTCCTTAGCCCAAATACTGACTGGCTGGCCCTTGTAGGAATCATGTGTAGACGTTACCCATAAGCGCCGTGGTCGGCCTCCTTTGAAGGTGGAAGAGGGACCTATTCGTACATACGAGTCAACATTTGGGCAACCAGGAATTCTGAGAGTGTCGCAACACCCTTCGGCCTCTCTGGGACCTGCTCGAGGGCATAAGAGAAATCCATCATCCAGAGAAATCAGACCCAGCACGGATTTCAACCACGCCCATGGGGGTCCGTCGAATGAAGGAGAACGGAGAATAGGATCGAGCCCAACAACTGCGATGCAGCCTCCAATGTGGACACCCCCGATCTTGCCATCCCCATCCCCCTTTACAGCTAGTAATGTGCCCCCTGCACGGCGGCCGGCATCGAGTGGGCAGCAGCCAACACCTCAGGCTTCCACTCATGACTACCAGCCACGGGAATGCCAACTACAAAGGCCAATGGGCCGCTTATCACCAATGCACTCATTTCCAGGGGAGGGACCACGGGCGTCGTGTTCGCCACATATGGCCTATAAACCAAGAAGCCCTACTGACTCGTCCTCATTCTCAAGCCCCGGGCCATCTGGAAGCTGGCCAGCCAGCTATCAGCCCTCCGATCAAGGGTTGGCCTCTTTTAAACTTCCTCCTATTTTGGGCAGAAGCTCAGATATTCCGCCTCCAAAGGAGGTTGCACAGCCTAGAAGATTTCCCTCATTGCCATGGCTGGAAACGGAACAACGACATCATCCCACGGCATCTGACCGCATAGTTTCTACCTCCGATTCTTCAAATCCTCTTTCTCCATTCCGCCGTGGATCCGTGCTCAGCAACTCTACACACGTCTCGCCTACTTCGCCAGTGTCTCTTCCCCCTTTGCGCACCACGGGACTACAAAAGGCACCGGCTGATCAATTACAAACTCCAATAGAAGACAGCCAGAAGGAAGAGGACAACAGACCCGCCAAGCGCCTGAGGATGGAATTGGGCGAGATGGTCAACGATTAATATGATTGCCCCGAACTGTACCCTTCTAACCTTCAATAACTTCCCTAAAACCTACCTGACCCCCCACCTAATTATATATCCTCCCTCCCTCCCTCCCTCCCTTTACCTTATTTTTCATTTTTTTTTTCTCGTTTTTTCTCTTTTATTTCCCCTATTTTGATTTTAGGCTCAAGGTTTCCTTTTCGTTACTTTTTGATTTGCGTTGCCTTTGACTTTTGAAATTTCCATTTTTTCTTTTTCGTTTTGCGAATACCATGTCTTCCTTTTCTTTTCCCTTATGTCAGTTTATACCCAACCCGCATGAACGAGGAAAGAAGCATTTGGATTTATGATAAAGTGATACCTTTAACTTGTTTAATATCTGACTGCGTTTGACATGTTGTCCAGCCTCTCTTTCCCCTTACTGCTACCAGTAGATATACAGATTCCTGTCCTTTACATGTACATACATTCTGAAGTTCAGCCACTTAATGTTTATCATGAGCTTAAATAGTATATACAAATATTCTATATATATATCTATATATTGATCATCTGCTCATTAGGTAGCGGAATGTTAATTAGTCCCGGAAGTGCAAGTCCAAGCAGGTATGTGCGTAGCTCAAATCCAAAATATATGTGTAAAAAAGACAAAAACAAAATATATTCAGTTGAAAATCACAAAAATACCCATTGCCCAGCCCTCTTGAGTTTATTCTGCCATTTATTATTGGGACCATCCGCGACTTCCACAGCAGAAGAGGCGCCCAGATCAGCCGCGCCGGCTACACGAGCCTCCTCATACCTATCGGTCAAGAGGTCCATCTCCTCCAACTTGACAAACTTCGTTTTCTTGACTACAAACTTCCAGGTCAAAAACATGCATAAAATAACTGGAAGTTGGATGTAGAAGCTGACAAAGTCAACCGGTTTGAACTTTGGGCTAAAAGATGACCATCCTTGAACAAGGATGAGCAGACCGTTGAGCCCGATTGATAAGATGGGTCCCCATGGGTAGGTCCAATTTTTGAAAGGGAGAAGATGCTCGAGGTTTTGCATGCGGACGGCCTGGCGAAAACGAAGAGAGGAGAACCCAATAGCCATCCAGGAGATTTGGTTAGATACACCAACGATGCTGTACAGAGAGGAAAAGATTTAGCATGATTTACTGGGGGAATATAGGAGGAAAGGGGGGGGGGGAGGACGGGGGCGGGAATATGATATATTGGGATGATGAAAGAATTGGAGCAACTTACTTCTGCAGCCAAGTCCAAAGCTGGCCAGCACCGATATAACTTGCACCAAAGCAAAGGCCACTAATGGCAGACGTGCCTATGACAGCAATCCACGGGGTCTTCCACCGATTAAGCTTCCCAAAGATAGCAGGGCCGTGGCCATTAACAGCGAGGGTGTAGAGCAATCTTGTGCCAGCGAACAGTGCATGGTTACCAGCTGAGAGGACGCTAGTGACGATGACGGCGTTAATGAAGCTGCCGGCAATACGGCTGCCTGCCATCTGGAAAACGATGGTAAAGGGGGAGGTCCGGGTGTCCTTGGTGGTCAGCTCTGGATAGTCGTATGGCACATTTAGGCCAATCATGAGGATGGCTAGGATATAGAAGATGAGGATTCGCCAGAAGACATTGCGAATCACCCTCGGCATGTTGCGCGTGGGGTCCTTTGTCTCTCCGGCAGTGATGGCAATGGACTCCGTTCCGCCGCTGGCCAACCGGTAAGCATATGTGAGGCAAAAGAAAAATAGCGGAGGCAGAGATATATGATAGATAAAGATTATCAGTGTAACTGCAAATACTTACTATGCGAATGAGGCCGTGACGAATACGGAGGCAAAGCCACCAATTCCGCCAACGAAGGGCGCATCTCCTTTGAGGAAGAAGCTGCCGCCAATGTATTGGTGGTCGACGTTACCGCCACAGTTGACGGCAATTCCAAGAATAATAAATATCTGAAGTTGTACTAAGTCAGTATTTTTTGCTAAGATTGGCCAGTTGGTATAGGGAGGCGCCACTTACAACTATGGTGACGACTTTGAGCAAACTGAGGATATATTCCATCTATGCAGGTGTTAACTAGCTTAGTTCTTTATTATAATTATGATTTTACAGGTAAACCGAGCATATACATACCTCGCCGTATGCCCTAACAGACACGATATTGAGTCCGACCAGAACGAAGAGAAATATGAGACTGAACGCCCATCCCGGAAAGGAATCCGTCCAGTACTTCAGCAGAAGCTGTAGTGCGACCAAATCGGCCGCTGTTGAAACCGCATCATTGAACCAGTAGTTCCAGGTCAGAGCAAAGCCAAAAGCATCATCCACGAAGCGCCTGTAAGCCAGTTAGCAGTGCATCTACGCATAAACACGAGTGTAAACAAGAGCTTACCCGGCATATGTACAGAAAGACCCGGCAATAGGTATAAAAGTGGCCATCTCGCCGAGAGACAACATGGTGATGAAGACAATGGCTCCCACAATGGAATATGATATCAACATCGACGCCGGTCCTCCAGTAGCCAGAGATTTGCCGGTTCCCAAGAACAGTCCCGTCCCAATCGTGCCAGCAATCGCAATCATCTGCACCTGGCGGGCAGAGAGCTGGCGCGCAAGCTTGTCCGAGACCACTATCGGGACACCATCAGGCTTCTCCGCTTCTGGGGGCATCGACTTTTCCACATCGCGGCTCTCAATCGTAGCCGGAGGCTTGATCTCATCCTGCACGTTCGAGGACGCCATCTTGTCTGTTCTACTTTTGGCGGCTGAGAAGGGCCTAGACAAGAGACCAGCCCGAGCAGGTGGACGGACCGACTACCTTTATATAACAATCCAACAGCCGAAAGAAGAGTCAACGGCCCGTACCCGGTCAGCCGCTCGATACCAGCACATACCAAGCCCGAGACAGAGACGAAAAACACAGTTAGCTATATCCTATGCTTCTCTCTCGGACATGCCATGTATGTCCATAGTTCAGCCATCCTCGAGAGGAAAATCGGGTGGCGAAGAAAATTTGGTGCTTATAACGATTGCGTGCCCTGGACCTTGCCCGCAAGTCTCCAGAATTCCCAGCGAACCAGAAAGCAGGCGGAGAGCTTACAGACGGGAAGTTTCTAATATTATTAAGCCAAGCACAAGCACGAGAGATAGCGAGAGGATGTCGAGTTGACTCGATCTCCAAGTCCCCCTAAACTAGCTGCTGGGCCGGCGGCTTGGCCTGAGAGTCAGGCCTCGACACGGAAAACAGCTGGGAGAGGCCGGTTGGGTCCGACGAGGGCGGGAGAGATGGAATCCTGGGGCCCGGAAGGCATCCTGCTGGTCCTTTAGCTGCTCTCTGGCTCGGCGTGAGTGGTGGAAAGGAGAACATCCGGGACAGGGCTCCTCGTACAATCCTGGTCGAAAGACCGAGACATCCCTTGCCCCAGGCCGTCCAGCTGGATAACCCCGCAAAGGAGCAACGGAATACGATGTAACGGCGGAGAATATATTTTATAGCAGCGCAAAGAGTTGACCGTCGTCATTTATGTTCAGGTTTAGATGGCCAGGCCGTGGTGCTGCGGTTCTGGCGCCGCGCAAGATATCGGCCAAAGTTATCACCAACTACAAGTCCAAAAGGCCACAATGGAATGTTCTATTTACTAATGGGTATAGAAGACACTACATCCATATGGCTCCGTGACGCATCCCAATGCCCGGCATGCAAGAAAGGAACAAAGCAGAAGACAAAAACTGACTATCCAAGTAAACCGCTGGCAAAAGCTTCCAGGTCCTCCAATGTCTGCATCTCAGCTGGCTCGTCAAAGGTGATTTTGGTACCCTTCTTCTTCTCTTTCCTGTCGCTGGTATCATGGTGGTCGTCTCGGGCCTTCTTCTGTTTCTTGCTAGGAGGCCTGGTTTCATTCTCCTCCATTTCATCTTCCATGGCATCGCCTCCTTCTCCCTCGGCTCCTTCGTACGGTGCCAGGTATGCAACCGGGCCGTCGCCATCCTCTGCAGCAGCCTCTCGCTCTGCCCTCGCTTTCGCCCGACGCTGTTCTTTCTTTTCCCGCTTCTTCTGCTTGGCGATCTCCTTGTCACGAATATCTGCCAGCCGTGCTCGCTCAGTCTCGAGCTCGAGGAACTTGGCTCTCTGCTCTGCTGCATCTCCTCGTTTCTTGAAATCTTCTTCATTCTCCAGTTCATAGATTTCATGAGCATTGCCATCATCATCATAAACTAGCTTCTTGCCAGGGTTCTTGTACTTAAGGAGCTTCTTCTTAGATTGTAGAAGCTTCTCTCGCCGGTTCGAGTCGATGAGGAGTGGCGCTCGGCCGTCAATATGCACTGCTCGAACACCTCCAGCTGCTTCCTTCACTTGTATACCAAGATCATTGTGAGATTGGCCATCAGGCTCCTTGTCGTCCTCAACCTCGTACCTCCGTTTCACTGCAAGGAAATCATCCTCACCATTAGTAGCATCGTTTGCCTTGCCACCGTCCTTATCACCTGTCTCTTCATCGTATATAAGTTTGGTATAATGTTCGGTGAACACGTCTTGATTTTTCCTCTCAAACATCCTATCATACTTGGTTCGTACTTCAGGCTCCTTGACTTTCTTCTTTTTGCTTCCATCAATCTCAGCTTCGTCGTCATCTTCATCACTCGAAACAAGCTGTAGCCGCCGAGGAGCATTCTTCAATGACTTGGTATCCTCTCCCTTGATAAATTTGATGCGCGGCGCACCGGGAAGGCCCAAGCTAGCCGCATATTCTTCTAGTGGAAGCGCCTTCACGTCAAACACCTCCTTATCCTTTTGGATGTGTATTGACTTGACATAAGAGGTAAATGCCTTCTGCCCGAGATATTTGAGCTGCGGATCTTTGAAACACATGTTTTGCAGCTGATGTTTTATGCTCTGCTGCTTGTTGGCCCGGATATTTATCTTTTCGATTGGTATCTTTTTCTGCTCTAGGCGAGAGAGCATACCTATTTCCTCACTAGGATCAAGAAATAGCACCGCTCGTCCGTCTCGCTCATACCGTGCGGTCCTCCCAACCCGGTGTATGTATGTATCCGAATCTTCGGGGCAATCCAGCTGAATGACCCAGTCGACCGCCGGGAAGTCAAGTCCTCTTGCCACCACGTCTGTAGCAAACAGACACGAATTCTTTGAAGCAGAAAACTTATGCGTGATATCAAGCCGTGCGCCTTGCTTTTGCCGGCCATGAAGATGTAGAAGTGGTATTCCAGGCTGCATTTGTCTAAAGGCCTCGTAGACGAAACGGACCTCCTTACTTGAAGAAAAGAAGACGATAATCTTCGATTTTAAACTGCTTCGGATAAAGCTCCATAGGGTATCCAACTTGTCGGGCAACGGCGTTACAACATAATGCTGCTGTAGAGTAGACGGCGTCGCACTTGACGCAGTCTGATGCACAGAAATGTACTCTGGGTCCTGTAAACTCAGCCGAGCAAGGTCAGACACTTTCTTCGTCTGCGTGGCGCTAAATAACATTGTCTGTCGTTCCTTGGGGAGATGTTCCACAATCGCATCTACCGTGCTTTGAAATCCCATATCCATAATGCGATCCGCCTCGTCCAGAACCAACATTTGTATATTATCCGTATCGAATGCCGCCGTCTGGTCCATGTGCTGTAACATACGCCCAGGAGTACACACGAGAATATTCATCCTTCCCAGACGCTCCTGCTCCTCCTGTAGACTTTTCCCTCCGATAACAAGGCCCGCCGAGAAGGTATGATATCGACCAATTTTCCGCAAAACTTCAAATATCTGGATAGCCAATTCGCGAGTGGGCGATATTATCAGCGCCCCCAGTCCATCGTATTCCGTCCATTGTTTTCGATATAGGTTTTCCAGCACCGGGACGAGGAATGCCAGAGTCTTCCCGCTCCCCGTTTTGGCGGCACCAAGTATGTCTCGTCCTTGTAGCGCATGGGGGATCGCACGGGATTGAATATCTGTCAATTCCTTAAAGTGAGATGCAGAGAGACCCAGCCTTGTCGGCTCAGAGAGTGGAAGGTCCGTGAAGCTCTCAATCGTAGCTTTGGTATCAAGCTCTGCAACTCGCTGTTTGAGCGACGCTATGTCGTCTTCGTTCCTCTTTCGTTTCAATATTCGAGGATTCTGACGAGTCGGTTTGGTCGACGGCTTCCCATTCCGTGACGAGTGATCCTTCGCCATCGTTGAACCGCCTAGAGTATTATCCAACTCGTTCGTCTCGTCTTTGCTTGTTCTCCATCTCGAACTTTTTGCTTTACCAAAAAAAAAAAAAAAAAAAAAAAAAAAAAAAGCCATTGCGCTGCTTAGTCATCTTATCGATAAGAAATATCGCGTAAAGCGAAACTCAACGTCGAGACCAACCAAGCCGCATTGAAGTAACCATTATTGAAGGAGAAAGGAATCTAGGCAGCTACGGCACACCAGGGTATAAGCGCAGAATCACACGAGAATATGGCTGCCGATGACGATCTTGATGCTCTTGATTCGCTGAATTCCTTAGAGAAAGAAGCTTCTGAGTTCACCAAGGTACGGCTAGATAGCCAGCTCCTACTAAACCGCTCCACAGCTAACTGGTGCACCCCAACATAGGATGCAGAGATCGATCGTATAAGAAAGGCCTTCCAACTCGATGCGTATGTGGTATCTTGCTTAATTCTGACCGTATATTTACTGGCAGAGAACGAAGCTGACAGACGTGGCTAATAGATACGCGGTTCTCGACCTACAGCCCGGCGTGCCCGACTCTGACATAAAAGTCCAATATCGGAAAAAGTCTCTACTTATCCATCCTGACAAAACTTCCAACCCAGCTGCCCCAGATGCATTTGACAGGCTTAAAAAGGCGCAGACAGCTCTACTCGATGAAAAACAACGAGCACATCTCGACGAGTGTATAGCGGACGCGCGACGGTTGCTAATAAGAGAACACAAATATAATCTCGATTCACCGGAGCTTAAGACGGAAGCATTCAAGGAAGAATGGAGAAAGAAAACTGTGTTTGTCTTGTTGGAGGAAGAGGCAAGGCGCCGGAGACAGCTGAAGGGTAGGATGCAAGAGGAAGGAAGGGAGAAGAAGAGAGAAGAGGAAGAGTTAGAGGCGCGAAAGCGAAAACGGGATGAGGAGAAGGCGTGGGAAGAGTCGAGGGACACCCGTATTGGGAGCTGGAGGGATTGGCAGAAAGGTAGGAAAGGTGGTGATAAAGAAGGGAAAAAGAAAAAGAAAATGAAGGTGTTGGGATAGTAGGGTGCATCGCTTTCTGGGACAGGGGATTTCTTTTCTACGATAAGGGTCGATTGTGAGAATGTACGGTCTTGACATTGGAGTTTTAAGGGGTGTCTGAATCGCTGATACTGTTGTGCTATGGTTGAAGTTCTGTATTTTCCTTATTCATCTTCATATGGATAGCATGCTGATAAATAAAAATACACTAGATCGGGCTTCTCTGAATATAACCACAGTTAAACGAAAAAATAGGCTGTAATGACATGTGCCACCATCCGCTGGCCCAATGCTCACGTAGAGACAGTTGTCACCACCCAAAGGTTGTAATACAATCGAAAAGAATACATATAGTGTGATAAAGATTTTTGTGAATGGGTATAGAAACCAAAGGGGATCTGAAACGGGATGAATATCGCAGAAAACATGGTACAATATTAGGGATATTTACCAATCCAAATGGTATATACAGAGAAAATAGCAACAAATTTCAGGAACTAGAGTCTGATACCATATTCGGATCAGACTTCTTCATTTCGTTTTTGAGCTTCGGTAACGGCATGCTCCCAGCTCGTTTGGGTCAAGAATATGCCTTCGATCAGGCCAACAAGGAAAAGGCCAATGGCAACACCGCCCCATAGACCCCAGAGATTCCAGTGTAGCCCGAATGCAGTGCTATACCAATAGGGAGTGCATAACATAGTAGCAGAAGAGCTGGGTGTATCCTCCGATGGACTGCCTTCCAAGGCCACGGAGCAAACCGTTACAATTGGTTGCAAAGGCATCAAAGAGTTGGAAGGAGGCACAGAGTGGGAGGACTGCTGCGATTAGCTCAATCACATCCTCGTCCGAGGTAAATAAGGCAGGAATATAGAAGCGGAGGGTAGAGAGGAGGGTGACGTTGATGATGCCCACAATGATTGCAGCGCTCATGTTGACCTTGGCAGCAACACGGGCGGCATCAGGAAGGGAAGCACCAATGAAATTTGCAATCCGAGTGCTTCCAGCAATGGATAGCGGGAAAGGAATCTGGAACATGATACCAGCGATGGTTGCAAGGACGGACTGGGCTGCAAGAGTAGTGGTACCAAGGTAGGCGGCTGCCAGAGTGAGAATCTCGAATGCGAGAATCTCTGCTTCCATCATGAGGAAGCCAGGTAGGGCAAGTCGGATCATAGGGCCCCAATTTTGGAATGCTCGATAAGTAAACCCGTTCCAGCATTCCATACCAGCAAAGAAGTAGATATAGATAAATAGAAGAATTGGGAGAAGGTTATCCGAAACGATAACCGCAACAGGGGCACCGACAAAACCCATTTCCAATTTCTAAAGTAGAAAGTCAGTTCAATGCAACTCAGGAATAATAGAGATACGGGGGGGGGGGGGGGGGGGGGGGCGAATACCCAAACCAAGAACCAGTTCATAAATGCATTGGCTGGAGCACCGATTAGAAGAACGTAGAGTGAGGCAGAGAATAGACCCTGAGCCTGCACGTATCGTTTAGCTGCTTCAAAAAGTGCATATCCAGGAGCTCCGAGGATGGCTACTTTCAAATAGAGAGCAGCAAGCTCGGCTACCTCCTGGTTAGGGACAATAGCCTTGAGGACGTGACCGGCGAAGAACCAGAATATGCCAATCGGAATGGTCATAGTCCACAGGAAAAAGACCATTCTCTGGGTCTGGAGACCGACGAGTTTCTTGTTTCCAGAGCCATATGCCTGAGCACAGAGGGTATCCAGGCTGGTTGCAAGCCCTTGATAGACCGCATAGCCACTGATATTGGCCGTCATACTGGCCAAGCTGACGGCGGCCAGCTCAACCTTGCCAAGGTGGCCGACGGTAAATATACTGGCAATGGTAAGGGAGTACTGGAGGAGGAAGCTGAATATCAGAGGAGCACTGTATTGCACCAACACTTTTGCCTCCCTGGACCATGTCGTCTTGATCAATCCGGCCATCACCGCATCGTCCCACTTCTGGTCAATGATAGCATCAGCAGAAGCATCTCCTCCACTAGCAGAAGCATCTTGACCGTTCCCTAGAAGCGAGGTCGTCTCGGTTGGTTCGGTAGATGGCCCCTGGCCCGATCCTCTTTTTGTCTTGCTTGCTGTGCATGAGATAGCATTGTCTTCCAGCAGAGTCCGTTCCTCTTCTCGAGCCCGTTCTCGTTCTGCATCCGTCAAGTTGTCTGCTTCGTGGGCATGTGGCACGACTGTCCCTCGAGCACCGCCCATGGTGAAGAAGCCGGTTCTCCGGTATGAGCCTGCTAGGGAGTGCGAGCCGCTAACTGTTCTAGCTAGTGGGGAGGTACCAGAGAGCTGGCCCTCGATATCGGTTGCCCGTGGGGGGATGTTTTGGGCTGGCGACGGCATTCTGAGGGCTCTGGCTGCGCAGGCTGCAATTGACAACCTTCTGTTTGATATGCAGGCAAACGGAATGGATGGCAGAGTGAACGGACGCGCTCTTCAAGCCAGAGGGAATTGAGTCTTCAGCTCGAAGATAAGAAAAAAGAACAGAGAAAAAAAAAGCAAATATCCGAGCTCCTCCAAGAAAACTAGTCTCGAGACAGATCCAGGTCGTACCCAGCATCTCCTCTCTCCCACATGCGCCCATGACGAATCGAAGCTCTTCCCTGCTGCTGCTGCGCTGATAGACACAATACCCGGTTGTTGTTCTTTTCCGTCTGGCTGATATCAAAATCAAAATCAAAATCAAAATCAAAATACTCGATGGTGTTGAGGTTTCCCGATGAGGAAAGTACAAGCAGACAGTCACATGATTCAGGTCCCGTGACTACTTTTTTTCGAGGCCAAAATAAAGAACCGCGATGTAAAAGACAGCGACGGCGACGGCGACGACGACGATATCAAGAGTCGACGGGGGCAACGAGAAGAGCGGACAGAGAGCCAGCAAAAGGAGATAATGATAAAGACGATGCCGCATGCCCCCGAGGTCGACATCGAGGATGAGCCTTCTGGCAACCCCTTTGGCCGGCTATCGAATCCGTTCCGCATCAAACCAGTGAACGTCACCAAGTTCGTATCGGCCGCTTGAACAAGAGTCATCTCATCCCTGCCTGATCCTTGAGAGGGATCGTGACGACCGAATGCTAATATATATAACCTACGTGGCTGGCAGACAGGTAGCGTCGAAAAAGAGGGTGGTCTTTACACAGCCTATCTTTGGGGCCCTATTGCTGGAGAACAGCGCATCAGACGCACGAGACCACTGTGCCAACGAGCGAACGTTCCTAGCATGGCTCCGGCTATCCATGTATCTCTCGATAGTGTCGAGTGCTATCGTCCTGTCCTTCCATCTCCGAGCCCAGCCGACGGCCCTGGAGCGTAACTACGCTCTCCCGTTGGGGATACTGTTCTGGGTGCTCTCTATCGGGACCATAATCAGCGGAGTTGCAAACTACATTCACACGCTGGCCAAGTATAGTCGGCGTGCTGCGCTGGTCCAGAGCGGCTGGAAGACACAGGTTATCTTCTGCATCGTCGCTATTGTTATTATCGGAACCTGCGTTCTCTTTTTGAGTACTAACAGGAGGTAACGTTCGACACTTTTTTATACCTGCTCACCCGCCCCATCTTACTACCACGACCTCGCTTGGCTAATCTCTATATACAACAGAACCATGTCTACTTAGGGTCTCAACCTGCTTGCAGGAGTCTGGATGGATATATTTGGTTTTCACGGCATTTGCATTGCTTTCTTTTTGATACCCGTCATTTAGGCAACGTCCCTAAAACTTGCATTATACCTTCATTTGCAGGCGTGTTGTCCATGCATTCATTACATTTTCTTTTACGCGTTTTAGCATGCTCTACCAAGGTTTGTGGACATAACATTCTTTTTTTTTGCTCCCGGGGTACTTTGTTTAAATCAAGTATATATTTTTCATTTCGCTATGACGTTTGAGTTCTCGACAGAGCATACATTTCATATCCATCAATCAGTTCTTTTGAATTAATAACCCGAACATTTTTCAGCAATCAGTCAATATATGCGTCCCTTCCCCTACCTAACTACATTCTACATATCTTCTCGTCGTTGGTGTATTTCTTGAAAGAGTCAGATCCAAAGTTCTCCCACCACTCGAACAGCTTGTCATCGCAGATGAGCTTGAACCATGGAGTGAACTTGGCACTCGGGTCCTTGAACATTGCCTTTAACTCTTCAGGAGTGACATACTTGACATCACGGACCTCGTTGGGGTTGGGGTTCAGGTCGACGTCTGCCTTGATGAAAAGGATGTAATCAACTGTGATGAACCGTTAGCCCTCCCGTGCTGTTGACAGGTGGTTTCTCCATATAGAAAGCAGGAGCAACAACTCACCCTCATGTTCTCCCCATTTCCCATCGTCACCGCTAGGAGCAAGGTAGTGAATTCGAGTAAGGAACTCGAACTTCTCCGCCGGAACCTGGGCCTCCTTTATCCCCAGCTCCTGGTCCAGCTTCCTCCTGGCAGCAGTGCGGGCACCCGTCACAGCCTGGCTGAGACCTGCTCCGCTAGCCTCCATCTCGCTGGGAATGGCAAGGGGGTGAGAGCAGCAGGTGTTGGTCCATAGATCCGGGAAGGTGATCTTCTCCGTGGCACGCTGCTGGAGCAGAAGACGGTTCTGCGAGTCGAAGAGGAAGACGGAGAACGCACGATGGAGCAGCCCACGGCCGATGTTGGTCATCAGATGGCCTATGTAGCACGTACAACACAGCGGTTAGTTTGGTTCAACAGATCAGATCGGACTAGTCTTCGTAGCCCCAAATATATGCATGTACATAGATCGCAACGTACAGGTCTTCTTGCTGCCAGACGCAATCGGCTTGTCGTCTGTGTCCACGACGATGCACATCTCGTCCATCAGCTTGACCTGGTCTTCGTTGTAGCCGTCGAGTTCTCCGCCCACTCGAGCAGAGCTGGCGCCGCCGAACTGAGTATCGACATCGGGGAACAGCGCCGCAACGTTCGCCGCCGTGATGGCCTCCGTTACACCGGCTGTAGTCGACATGGCGATGACCGGTAGAGCTCTCAGTGTGGAACGGGGGAGGGAGAGGAGGAAGAGGCAGGTTTGATGTCGAACAGCGCAGATAACGGGATTCCAGCGCAGCAAAATCTCCAGATATTCAGATGACGGCGAGTCCAGAGCAGCAGAACGAGTAGAAAGCGAGGCAGAGAGGGGCAGACGTTGAAGAAGGGGAGGAGATGCTCGACTGTCTGGCGCAAATTTCAGCGACGCCCATATCGAAATATTTTAGTGATTCCTGCGAGTCAGCGTGCTAGTTGAACTCAGCAGCGCAGGTGGGGTAAAAACGCCGGCGGGTCAGATTGAAATCCCCCAAAAGGCGCTTTATTTTTGCTCCGCCGAACGAAGACTGAATACTTCCACCATCCTCCGCGCCGCCGTCGCAGGGCAGCCAGTCATTGGCGAGATAGAGAGCAAAGACCCCGGAGTGTCTTTTCTTTTGTTTTCGTTTCTCTCGCTGATGGTGATGTCGAAGTCGCCGATAGCTAGTTAACTATCAGGTTTATCGTCATCACCAAGCTCATCTCTAGGATGCGTTGCTAGCTTCAGACCCCAACAGCAAGGGAGAGCTGTTGACGGGCTCGACGGGCTATCGGCGTGGCATCTTCGGGCCTCCTCCCCCTGGCCTGCGGGCGCTGATGTCGAACGGTTGACTGCCGTCTATACTTACTTACGCCGCATGGTTCAGGGGTCAACTCAGATAACTAGTTTGCCGGGCGGCCCCTCCAGCTAAGTTTTCAAGCCTATACGAATCCAGCTCGAAGTACATGGGATCAGAGACATCGTCACGGAAGCAAGCAGGAACTTGGTAGGGGGGGGAAAGCTGCAAGCTTGATGTTGGAGGTTGGGACTCACACCAGGAGAATGCATGACACCGGATCCATGCTATACGATGCTGCAATTGACTCTTCAGCAGCCTGCAACTTGCCGCTAACTAGTCTTGGTAACCTTTTTAGAACCAAGAGGCAAATGGTGTTGTTTTTGCAGTTGGCAGTTTGATTACAGACGGCCAAAGTCCGAGCATTTACCGATCACCAATATGCATGGCTTTGGTTCCGATATGGTATGAACAATTGTTACCGGTCAGGTTACTTGCATCGTCAAGTGCAAAGCAAACGGATAAGTTGATCTGGTAATCATTAGGCTTCAGACATGAATCGACGTGTTGGTTGCCCTACGCCTTGTCTCCTGGCAGATGACTTCATTCTGGTCGATCAGCTAGGGCTAAATAAAAACCAAACCCCGGGAACGAGACCTTTGAATGAACAGCCGATCTATCCCGTACGCAGGGGTAGAAAGGGTTATATGCAGCAGGGTCTCCGTTTGGCAAGCCTTGGGTTAAAGTTGGCTGTTATAACATCTATGGAAGACGAATAATTGGCCAAACGCGAGAGGGGAGCTCTGCTGTACATGCAGAGGATGATCTGGAGTCTTCTCGGGGCCCTAGACACCAGATAACCGGAATTCAGTCCAGTCAGTAGTAGAACATTGCACAGCAGTAGTCGGTGGAAGCTGATCTTCTTCCTGCGCCGGCACTGCCAATCCCTTCCATCTGGCTTTGAGGATGGGCTTGCTACTCGCATAGTCTCTTTCGAGAAGGGGAATCGAACAATAAAATAACATGAGACTCACAAAGTGGGCGCTAAGACAAAAGCATCAGTCACTAGAGGGCGCAAGCTGGGGCTAAACACTACTGTTATTCGGGAGTTTAGGCCCCCATGGACTCCTATCCAATTATCACTACTCCGTATTTTCACTAACTACCCTCAGATAACGCTGCCCGCATCTTGCTCTTCAGTTCTGCACGCAAACGGGAAGCGAAGTGGATTCCCGGGTAGTCCCTTTTCCTCAAGCCGTGAAGGAGGGTCAAAGAGAGGGGGCCATAAGCTCGGCCCGACAAACAGGTTCTGGTATAACCGTGTTGATGTATACCTAAGGGTTAGCTAATGCATTCTTCTTAGGCTGATGCAACAACTACGAGAGGATGATGCATGCTGTAGCCCAGACAGACAGCAAGCGATCATCATATCAAACTGGCCTGAAGGCGAGCTTCTTCCAGAACAGTATATAGAAGGAATCGAATATGAGGTAAGCAAGTCAACATGTCAGAAGAAGCAAGCAAAAGTAAGTAATTCATGTACTCAAGGAAGGTGTCCGAATCTAAATTCTCTCGAACAAACCATCTGGGAGATAGATCGACACGTCGGAGGGTCCCGATAAGCCTTCATTCGTCCCAGGGTCTTTTTCTTCATAAGAAAACAGTGGTAAGGCCCAAGGGGGGAAAAAGTAAAGAGAGGCGATGATATCCAGGATATGCAATCGGCCATAAGGCTTATGCAAGGACTGGCTGCAATTGGAATAGCGTTGCCAAACGGGCTGAGCGAGGGCACTCAAGGAATGCAAAGGGGATCAAGAGAGAGCAAGGAGGAAAATACTGACTAGATTAGTTACGGGGTGCAGAGTCTGCATACTCGGCCGTGTTGTATGCATGATTGATAACTGTTGGATATACCTAGGTACACTTGGAAGTAGATAGACATGGTTACTTACTTACATGCGTGCCCCCTTTACGCTTGATGCAAGAGAGTGGGTAGGCTGGCGACTAGTCAAACACCAGCAAACCCCCTCCAGGGCACTCTATCTCTAGAGAAAGATAATAAAAATAGCGGAGAAAGGCTGCACGCTCATAAATAATATCAAAGCCCAAACAGCCACCGTCTATCACTTTTTGTTGTTATTGTTTTGTTGTCGTTGTTGCTCCTTCCAAAAAAGATGATCTTGTTTCATCGTTGAAGAAAGGAAGGAGAAAACGCACGGACGGCCGGAAAGAGCCAAGAACTCAAAATAAAAATAAAGAAATTAAAGTTAAGTGGGGCCTTCCTTCCTGCATAGAAAAGTTCTAGAAGGAAGTGGGGCCCGGGCCCTGAGCTAGTCCCGATCCGGGTATCAGGCGGCTAAGCAATCTTTGTCTGAGATGAATAAGAACTGTCAATCAAACAACTCGACACAGGACAGTGCATGCATAAGCGTAGGGCAGAAGGCAATAAGGGTGGTAGGGCAAGAAGCAGCAGCTACCAGTACGGAGAGCTAACCCAAGCAATTAATAATTCCATTGCATATATGTATTTGCTAGAGTCAACGGCCGGCGCTTACTCTCGTTAGTTGCTATCCTATGGAAATGTAGACTTCGACCCATCACCTGGTGGGTCCTGGTTCTTGCTCTCTTCCCGCTTAATAGGATATAAAGGGGAGTGAGGGGAAAAAAAATAAAAATAAAAACAAGAGGAAGCGAAAAGGGGGCCGTCACCTCTTCCCCGCACACAGCAGCGTCTTCTCCAAGCCTATCGCTTCTTAACCAACATTAACTCCTGGTTGACATGTGGGTAGATAAAAGGGTCTGGCGCTAATAGACGTCCAATCATCAGAAAAGGAAAAACACGGAAGGGGGCCAAATGGGAGGAAAATGGAAATGCTTGTTTGTTGATCGACGCTTTGGACAAAGACCCCGAGCAATCAGATATGGTAAATCCTCTTTTTCCCAACACCAAAGAAATTCACCGCGGGAAGATCGTGGATCAGGGGCTAGTTACTCGAACTCTGGGGCCAAGGAAAAAGAAATCTATAGTTAGCAGTAGGTGGTGGGGAAGAGCAGAAGGACGGGAGGGCAACTTGCTTTACCGTTTTTGGTATGAGTTGAAATAGGTCTCCGTATTCGCCATGTAGAGGGGAGAATATGCATAGATGGGGAAGAAGGGGGAAAAGAAAAAAACATGATTAACACAAGAATGATAATAATAACCCCCACAAGTTGCGCCGGTATATGTGAGAAAGAGAAAATGGAGAAAAAGAGCGAAAAAGAAAAACTAAAACACGGCATACACCTTTTTGTGAGCTGAAGTAGGAACGTAGAACAAGAATATGTCATCCAATGCACCGTTCTATATGTTTGGATGTAAAAATAAATAACAGAAGGGGAGACCAATCGAAGGCTTGCTGGCTGTTCTTGCTTTTTTTTTTTCTTTCGAGTCACTCGGCGGCATCGTTTGACATGTAGTTGCCATTATATTAGGTCATATGTATTCATGGAAGGTTTCATTGCTGGAGTTCAAGTACGGTCTAACAAGCCCTGGGTGTAGCTGGGGGTGGGTTGTGTAACCTGCAATAGGTTCGAGATAGGGAATAGAGGCAGTCGGGTAGGCTTGACTGGCATCCAGGCCAGATGGCGCCATTGGTGCAGTTACAGAGGCTGGCTGGCGGTGATGATGGTGCTGCTGTAATTGTTCTTGTTGTTGCCTTTCCAGAAGTGCTTGACGGTGCTGTTGTTGTCTTCGACAACCGTCCTCCCGATGTCTATCTCTTATTAGCATATTTCACAGTATATATAGAGAACATAATATTACCGTCGCAACGTATCCTGTCTAGCAAAGCGATGCCCACACTGGTCGCAGCCAAACCGTTTTAGCTTCTTATGCACCTGAAGGGGGAAAGTGCTGGTTAGCATCAAGTGCATTAGGGGAACTGCTTCTTTATGGACTCACGCTATCAATATGCCGGATAAGATCAGTCTTGCGACTAAACTTGTTGGTACACTGACCGATCGTGCATTTATGAGGGTATCTTCGGTTAGGGTCATGTATCTTCATGTGTGATCTGCAGTTTGAATTCCGTGTAAACTGCCTTCCACACTGTTCGCATTCGTATTTCCCGTTCCCATTATCTAGCGATCTCTTTTTCTTTGGGGGAATTTTCATATCAGGAGACGACAGGTCAAGTTCAGAAGTTCGTTTGCCTACCACCTTGTTGCAGTCCGAGGTTCGCAAGGGGGAACGACGAGGCTTTCTCTGGTTGTGAATGGGAGTTGAGGTGAGAACTGGGGTGTTTGCTTCACGAGGCTGTCTTGCAGGGGCAGGAGAACTAATCTGTTGATGGAATAATGGAAGGTCTTCCATGCTGAAGAAGGCTTGCTTTGCAGCGTTGTCGTTTGCTATTATCTCCCAGTCATCACTCATACCCTCACTAAGAATCTGTGGCGACTGGGTCGGGCTGGGAGACACCCCGTAGTTCGACGACATGTCATGTGCATAGATGTTGGACTGGATAGTTGAGCTGCTTTCGACTTTCATCAAGGGAACAGGACTTAGGAAACCGGCCGAAGAAGTATCAACATGTGTACTTGGAACACCGAAGGACGAGATTGATGCATTAGGAACAACCTGTAGACCGTCGTATACTGATATTATGGGATAGGTAACCATGCTGGAGGAGGTGTTCGGAAAGCAGTGGCCGGCACTTGGCTCTCCGTGCCATCCTTGGGCGACTTGAAGCATGGATTGGGATGGCGAGCAGATGGACACCGAGGGTCCCGCTGGTGGAACAGAGCAATTTAGTAGACCGAGGCCAGTAGCTGACGAAGACTGAAGGGAGATTGAGTCCGTCTGAGTGCAGCTCTGGGGAGTCGTAGGATAACTGGATGATGATTGTTGGTGCATCGTAGAAACGTAACGAGGAGAGGAAGCGTTGTATGAGTTGGCTGCGCGTTGTCTGTCTTGCTCAACAGGAATCCAAGCTATGAAGACATCCGAGTGTTCATGGGTCTTTTAAGTATTATGAAAGTTTTCACTGTATTATTAAACTGGGGAGAGAAGAGGGTATTCAAACGCAGGAAAGTATAATGGTATATATATGTATGTATATATATCTGTCAGGCCTGCGTGCAAGCCAAAATGGAGGATCGACGCCATAGGGACCAAAGTGACCTTGTCTAAATCAGGCAAGCTGCAAGAGCGCAGGCTTGGGGAGTGCTCCCACATAATCCAAGGCTGATTTTCTGGTTTGGACCATGAACGTATTGTAGCAGCGGCATACTATGAAGTCGCGGTTCTCCGGGCTACTGAGGCATGCAAATCCTTGTGGAGAAGCAATGGGAAAAAGGAAAAAAAAGAGTGAAAAAAAAGGAAAGAAAGGGAAAAATGATAGAAAGCGAGCAGCAGGGGGAAGACGACTGTGCAACTGCAAGGTGTCAGCCATCATCCGGCCAACAAGGGAAATATTTTCAGAGGAATTGCAAAAAAAAACGAGCGTAAAAAAGCAAAGCTGATTTTCGCTCAAGGGTTTGTCGAGGTTGGGTGACAAAATGCTGGCCATCGAACCCGAGTGACTGGATTGGGGCTTGCATCTAATCCTTGGCCCCCTATCTCTCAACCCTGTAAATCCCGAGGCATAGCCCTGGGAGAATTAAAGGCGGACAAGGGGACTGAGGGAGCAAAAAGACGATCGTGAGGGTCGACAGCCATAGCGAACGTGATGTGTGGCTGCCAAAGGGCGAAAATGGCGACCCTGAATATTGGCTGTTCGCTCTAGAGAGCTTACTTTTGGTCGAAACTTGTACGGGCCTGGGGGCCATTTCTCCCAGATTCCGTGGACACGCTGAAGTACAATCGCATACATAAAGGTTAATCCAGGAAATTTCGTCGTTATGTGACGAGGCGGGGCATTTGGAAGCGAGTTACTGGTCGGTTTGTAACGCGAGCGGCGTCTATCAAAACACAGCTTTCTGTACACTCCCCAGGGGTGAGGCTCACAACGGCTCAGGACAGCTAAACTTTCACTCATTTCCCTGCTGCATCCTCATGTAGTCACGCTTATTATAGCTAGTGATGAAAAGTTAGTCTTTCAGGTGTCCGAACGTGTCCTCCAAGCAGCCCAAAGTTTTGGCTGCGAGTAGTCTTATTATCATCGCCGATCGATTATTCAATCCCCGTTGTTCTAGACTGTGGGAAAAATTGGGCTATTTTTTTATGAGTGTTTAGATCAACTTGAGAGACCTCATAACTTCTGGTTAACCGTCAGTGTGTCAACATAGTACGAAGATAATAATCTGTCTAGAGGCCCTGATGAGACTCAAGGAGTCTGGACGCGGCACTGGCATCAATTACAGCCTCGAAATAGATAAATCTGCATAGAGTTCGACGTGAGGTGAGGCGACCCGCAGGTCGGGCAGCGGTCGACCTGTTCAGTATATGGGGCTCAGGCTGCGGGTGTCAATGTGTGAACACCATGGGTACATGGTTATTTGGGATATCACATGTGATTTTCGGTGAGGTCTGGCTCCGTAGGACTGAGTCAGATACATCTCTATCGTGGAAATTATGTGCAACCCTTAGAATAATACCGCATGGCCTGACCGAGGACCAGGGAGGTTAGGCGCCAGTGGAGATGACCGGGACAAAAAGACAAGGCGTGGCTGGTGAGTCGAGTATCTTGACATCATCTAGAAGGAGGCTTGAGGCTGTGTTCAGCGCCGATGGTGAGGCGGATGTTGTGTGTTCTAGGGCCAGGGAGAACTATTTTGGCCGCAGGGGCTGCTTCCCCTCGAGCGCCGTGTGTAGAGAGACAGGTCCTATACCAAGGGTTACCGTATCCAACATAGCCCCCTTCCTCAGAAGCAGGATTTTCCTGTTATGAAACGAGGTGCAGGACAAAAAGTACCCTACCCTGCGCAAGAGGCCAACAGGGCCATGTAAGAACGGTACGAAATAAAATGGCATAGCTCGCAAAATGCAGCCACTAAGCAACTGGGGGCATTGTTAATTATTGCTAATCAACGATGACGGATGGAAGGAAAAGGGGGGAATTGAGTGATACTGGCCGGTCAGGCTCTGCCCTACCGATGATTTTTGCCAGAAGGGTAGTAGAACGATACTCCTTCTCTGGGGACAGCAGTGTCGAGCTGATAATCGTGATCTCTTGCAGATGCGTCCTCGACCTTGGCGTGCTATCCCCCCTGCTCAAAGCCAATCGGAAGATACTTGGCTCTGCAAGAAGCATTTAGCGCCTATGCGAATCTTGCCGCGATAGCCAATCGATTTTCCAAGACCACCCCTGTAATTTCAATTAAGGCCAGGAGAGCCGCGTTGGTCAGGGCCCATGTCGGTGGACCTTTAAAAAAAGGAGCGCTCTCGTCCAATCGATTCAGCCACCAAATCAATCGCATAGAGGTCACAGTCACCGTCAGAATCCCATATTTTTTTTGTCCTCACGCCGGTACGGAGGGTTTGCCATGAGAGGACTTCCACGTTCATCTCCTGAGGCTGAGCCGCAAGCCCCGCAAACTTCGACCAAGTCGCTTCTCACCAGTATCGTCATCGTTGCGTTTATTGTAGCGCTACTTCGTAGCTGCAGTTCTGTCCTTCCGGTACTAAACGGGTGGTCAAGCTTCGGCGGCGGCAGGCAGCTATCTTTCGGAAGACAGGAGTAAGCCCGAGCACCTTGTGTCTAAGCCACGGTACATACACGAATTGAGTGGTTAAATACCACATGCAGGTGGAATATTACCGTTCGAAAGCCTTCTTTTGGTAATTTTCTGAATCATAGCCCAGCGCATATCCTCGAAAGGAGCTAGCCTAGCACGACTGGGAGAGGCCCTGGAGCCAACAAGGAGTCGATACATCCTAAACAGCTAGTCAACCCCAGGGTTTTTGCGCAAGTACATCCGTATATGCCAGTTTTTTCGAGGCGGTGCACATGCCCAGGCCCTCAGGCAGAGAATTTGAGCCGCTTCATATACAGGATAAGGCGCGGGAAAACGGACGATGACATACAACATCCCCACCGTAATAGGTCCAATATTGTTGATAGGCCTGTTTGTCTGTCGGAGATTGCCGCAAGCTTCATTCTGAATTTTGAAATTCGGTCAAAGCCGTACGTTAGGGACCATGTTCGTTTCACAGCAGACCTCACAAGGCATTTTACACAGAACTTTTGCAAATATCAAATGCAAGCTCTGCTGCATCTGAGGATGGGCCTGGGGATGTCCGATGCCGTGCTGTGGAGGCTGCTGGCGGTGAGCAAGAGTAGTTAAGCCATTTGAAGCGAATTCACCAAGTCAGGGCCCCGCTAGAGAATGGCAGGTAATTTTGGACAACATGCTTGCAGAAACATGCAGGGAGTACACAGGACAATACGCCGTGCCCGAGTGTCTGCCCGTTTTGCAGCATTGTTGAGTAATCCGGTCGATGCCGCAGATTCCGCACAAACCACATACGTGAGAATTTAGAGCGGGACACATATGTGGCTGTCTGCCTGGGTTGGAGGGTGACTTGACATGAATGCGCTCCGTGTTTTCGCATCTTGTGCGAGTAGGAATTGGCTAACCAACCCCCGACAGAACCATTGGATATTGATGTCTCCTTCAAGTGGATAGCGGCGCTTGCTGAGGTGCATTATGGAATTTAAAAATTCAACTCGTCGCCGTCAGACAACCATCTAAATGAAGAAAAATGAAAAGTACCTAATTATAGTGAGCATGTGAGCAACATACGGGTTAATTTGCAGTAATGCATACCAGAGCAGACACCTGTTAAATATGTATTCTTCATGCGGATGCAGTGGGCGGCACAGATGTGGCCAGAATGAGCAAATGCCGTATACCCCGGATTATTAAATGCATTGAATCGTCTGGTA